TTCTATTAAAAATAAAATGATTGTTTATGATCCTGTAACTAATTAATAGCAAAAAAAAAAAAAAAACCAACCCCAAAAAGAAGCACCAAAGCAGAATTCTAGTCCAGAGAAGGAAAAGACCACAATGAGCTGAGGGCAGAGAAAGTATTTAAGAATATCTGTTGTGTGTGGCACTTTGCTGGGGACTGTATATATTGAATTAAGTAGTGTCACTATCTCTAGATTAGAAATGAATAATTAAAGATAGATAGTAATTATATGGACAGAAATAATAAGTTGTAAATCTAGCAAATGCAGAGCACTAAATTAGTAAATCATTTACATAATTAATTAAAAAGATGATGAAGGAAGAAAAATTTTAGAAATTTTCTATTGTGGAAAATCAATCCCTTCTCTTGATTACAGTAGTTAAATGCTTTACTAAAGAGGTGAGTTTTCTGTAGCTACTCAGTTAAACAAGAAAGCCTTTCTTCCCAAAGAAGTATTAGTAGATAATGTTTTTTTGGTATTATATAAATAATAAATAAAGTTTACACTATTTTACTAAAACCAAAAAATGCTCACTCCTCTGAAGGCCATTGGTCTAACTGCCTCAGACACATAGTTTTGCAAATGCTTCATCCCATGTTACACATTTCATTTGTAGAATTCTCTGGCAAACACTTATACCTCTTAGAATTGCCAGCTTCTATATTCAGAGTAGAAATCATCCATAGATTATCACAGAATGACATTAGACCAGGGTCTAGGACATTTTGGTTCTATTTCTGGCTTTGACATTTTTCCTTGATAAGGATTCACCAAAACAATATTATTGAGTCACGACAAAGTTAAAACTTACATTTTGAGGGTATAATTCCCGACTTTAAAAATTTCTTGCCTATATTGCAAGAATTAGAGTGTATAAGGTTTTCTTACAGTTGTTATCAATATAGCTGCAGTAACTTTTGAGGCTCTTTCAAGGGGAACTCTAAGTTGTAAGATGATTGGAAGGCCACATATATATTAACTATGCTCAAAAGAGAAAAATCAGTAGAATTCCAAAGTAAACAAAGCAAGAATCACTGTTAGCTCTAGCTTATCCATGATATTTGGGATAAAGAAAACTATCAAGATATTAATTGTTAAACCCACAGTTAATTTCAAATCTCTTTTTAGTTGTAATCATCTCCAAACCTATTGTTTCACCAAGTTTCTCGCTGGAGCAGTCAAGTAGCCACATGATGTGTAAGTTTGGCTCTTTTTCCTTTCCCTTGCCCTCCCTTTGGTGGAGGTGTTAATGAGTGAAATGCCCAAGATGGGCAGCTCAAGACGACTCTAAGGATTTGTGCCCTGACCTAGTACACCATTAGCCTTCGGACTGGAGAGTGACTGGCTGATGGATGCCACTTCCCAGAAGCCTAGAGGGTGTCCACTTTAGTCAATTCAGAATTCATCTAAATGAGAACTCACAGTTATCAAAACATTATTATTACTCATACCTTCAAAAAGGAATAGACCTAATTTTTAACTGGGTTTATATGTTCCTAATAAATATCAATAAGATGTTATAAAGAGTAGCATTCCTGTTGGGGAACAAGACAAATTCCTGCTTCAAAATAATATTTTCATCAAAATAATGCTTTTTACCTTTCTAAAGCTCCTTTACCTGTATTATCTCATTTGGTGCTCTCAGGAGGCCAGCAAGGAAGACATACTCTGAGGTCCTAGTAGAGAGCTAGGACCCAGGTTTCTGAAATCTTAATACTGTGCTTTTGTCTTTCTCTATTCAGATCCCTTAATATATATAAGATTCGTAGGATAGCAAATTATTCTAAAGGTTTTTAAAAGCATTCCCAAATTTTAGAACATCGTAATCATACTATTACTGAGCTCAAAGGGTTCCTCACTTGGGTGTTCTATTCAAGAACAAGAGGTGGTTGTTAGGTAGTTTTATTTACTTGCAGCAAGTAAAGGAGACTGGGAATTCATATCTAAAGCTCTGTCTCCCCAAAGGGAGGCTTAGTCATTGTTTAATATACTATATGGTTAATTACATGTTGATTTCTTCTTTGCAGTTGGCTAAACTTATCTTGTTGAGTTGGGTCAAGCTCATCTGGTTTCAGCTGCCTCTGCAAAATATTGTGCTACATTTTAACATTTAGTATGAAGAACCCCAATCTTGAGACCTTTTGTCTTAACAATACCTATCCTAACTCAGGGAAATTACACATGCTAGTAACTTATAATAATGGTTCTTAAAAACATTCCCAAATACTGTAACATCATAGTCACACTGATCCCAGGAGTAGGATTAAATTAGTATTCACAAAACACAATAATTAGCATATATTAAACTAAGTATTAACTGTTGTTATTAAAAACCATGTTAGAGGTAGTACAGCTGTGAAGAAACCATGAACTCTGAAACAGACTCCCTGAGCTTGAATCCTGGCTCTGCACACCTATCTCACTGAGTTGTGTATAAGCTTTTCAAGGAATACCTAGCTCAAAGACAGTGCTATATGGGTGGTAGTTACTATTATTATTTGGTAGCTCTAGTATATATACATATTATAATTTGCCCTAAGTCATATGGAAAATAATGAGCTAGACTGAAATCTATATCACCTACCTTTTGTAGAAATGTCTATGTTATGCTAATTTTTCACAATTCCTAAAATGTGTTTTACCTCCTTTTCATGTCATGAAATTTATATTTACTCTCCTTTACCAAGCTGAAAACCCTTTTTAAAATCAACACTTATAAAAATCTTAACCCTAAATGTCCTTGACTGTTAGGTTATTTAGTTTATGCTACACATGCTCATTGGCATTTGTAAGAAGCTGTTTTGTGCTTAAAATTGTTTTCCCTTCTAGACATGTTCTATAAGTTCAGGCATATTCAGTAAGCCCACTAGAGGTCTGCTACTTGAAACCTGCATATCTCTTCATTTCTTGTTGATTTACTCGACAGTATCTAGAACTGGATACTGCTATAACCCAGTGGGCTGTTCAGTAAATTACCAACTGACTGTCATTCCCTCTAGTTTATTCTATTTTTTGTCTTTGTTATTGGCTGACTTAGTTTCATCAGGGGTTGTCAAGAACATGCATGTTCGATCATATAAAAATGATCTAGTCAAAGAGTTTCCTCTAGTTGAGGCTGAGGGTTTAGTTGTATATTCTAAATATTTGGCACATTCCACTCTCGGGAAGGACTAAAAACTAAGGAACAGGTATTCAGGTTCCGGGGTGTTTTTAGTTTTTGTTTGTTTGTTCCTCCCCGCCCCCCGCCCATCATCAAGAAACAGGACCTGAGGCAGCGGGCAGGGTGAGGGGTGGAAAGGATGGGAGTGGAGTGGGAAGGTGTCTCTAAATCCTCTCGGGATAGTCTGGTGAGAAGAAAACGTAAACAGACTCCATAGCTTTTTGGTTTTGTTCCTCTTTTCTCCCTCAGGATGGTGGTGGTGGCGGCGGATCAGACACAATAGATGGCAGTACCCCCGCCTGAGTGCGGATTAAAATGACCCTCAACAGCATCAGCAGGAGGAATGGGAAACGGAGGAGGGGTGTGCATGGGAAAGGGCGAGGATGAAAGCAACGAGGTGACAAACGCTGCCTCTTCCGCGCGGGTTGATGATGGGAGCTGCAAAGATGCCCCTTCGGAGGCAGGGTGGGAAGGGGAGATAGAGGGGCGGTGGCTTTTCCTTTTGGGGGGCGGGACAAAGGGTGGAGGGAAGCCTGAGTCAGCAGCTCCTGACTGGCTCCTGCTGTCCCGACGCGTCTCCCGATTGGGCTGTTTGCAGCGGGAGATATTCTGAGGCCCGGCGGGGCGGGGCAAGCCGCCAGGGGTCGGTGGCGAGGCCCGGGAATTGGATTGCGGACGGGTCGCAGTGGTGCTTAGAGCCCGGAGACACTGTGACTTGTAGTGTGGAACAGCGCAGCCACCTTTCCTCCGTTCCGCCTGCAGCGCTGAATTCGTTCTGCTGCTCTGGAGATTTGAAAAGGGGGAAAAAATTGAATGAATAACGCTTCGCTGCTACCCTCTTCCCCTGTTTCCAGAAGCTATTTTGCCTTTGGGTTTGAAAAGACACTCCCTTATCTTAAAGCCCCTCAGCGTCTGGCAGCCTCTTTCCCCTCCCGCTGCGAAAAAGTGGCAAAAAATCACCAAGACATGTCCCCCTCAGTCTGGGACCTGTGATACCTCACTTCTGCACATCTAGCTATATACCTGCACCCACTCTCCGGCTCTGACGCTGAGCACGGAGTCTCTTCCCAGTAGAAAGATCTGTTCCTGGCCGCTCCCGCTCAGCGTTCGGGAGATCAGAGAAGGCGGGGAAGGTTTTGTTTGTGTCCGGACGTAGGGTAGTACCGGGGGTTGGGCAGTGAGGACTTGTAGGTCTCGAGATACATTGGGAAGGGGTTGGCGAGCAACTCCCCCCCTCGCCCCCCAGGCTAATCCTCCTTCTCCAGCGTTGGTTCCCGGGACCGTATTATTCAAGACAGAAAATATTCAGTCCCAGAGCCTCCCCTGGGGAGGGGAGGGGAAGGAGGTGGAGTGGGAGGAGGTGGATCCAGGGAGGAAGAAGCGAGAAATCCGCCCCCGGGAAACAGCTTGGCGCGGCCTCGGAGCAAGGCACTTCTGTCACTTGGCGATCGCGGGCGCTCCAGCGCGGCCCCGGCCCGGCCCCGCGAGGCGAGGGGAGAGTCCGGCGGCCGCCGCCCCGCCCCACGCCCTCCCGCGGCGGCCGAGAGCCCGGGGCCGGCCGGGACAGGTCGCGGCGGTGTTTGGGAGCGGCCGGCCGGGGGCGGCGGCCTCGGAGCGCAGCGGCGGGCAGCGCCAGGTCGTCGTCCGGCTGGGACCAGCTCGCGCTAGGCTTGCTGGGCGCGCTGTCCTGGAGCCTGGTAGTCCCTTGAGGATCCACTAGCCCGCTTCCTCCGGTGCGTTTCTGTTGGTTTTCCGCCTTAGCCGAGAGGGTGCAGAACTTGCGGGCGAAGAGTCCTGCTCGCCGCGGGTTCCTTCCCTTCGCGCCACCTCGGACCAACCCGCCCGGCCGGCCCTGGCGCGTGGCCGGAGGGAAGCCCACGGCAGGCGCCCGGTGGGGGCGGAGGGGCCGCACCCGCGTGTGCGGAGCGAGGGAGAGCCGGAGGGAGGAGGGAAGGGCACAAAGGCCGGCGGCGGGTGCCGGGGTCCGGCCGATGGCCGTGGAGGAGGGGCGCCTCCCGGTTGCTCATGAATATTAACCGAGCCTGCGGCCTAGCGCGTCCCGGCGGGGCCCGGCGCCCGGCCCGCGTCCCCGCTCCTGTTCGCCGCCGAGCCCAGCGGGCGGGAAGGCTGAGCCCCTAGCTTTTTGTCTTTTCCCCACCGGCTTCCCCACACCTTTTTCAAAGTACATATTTGGGCCGCCCTTTGCCTCAGATCGAGATCACCGACCCGCCTCTGGAAGGGGCGGAGGAAATCGTGGTAGGTGGGTGGTGGTTTTCTTTTTCCGATTTTTTCCCCCTAGGTGGCCACAGGGAAAGGGAAAGATAATGTCGAGTGGTAGTTTGGGGAGCAGCAACTACATAAAAGTTGCTTGAGTTGCAGCTTCGTTTAGGTAGCTACGGAATCATGCCCGGGAGAGTGAGCTGCGCCGGAGTCCCGCCCGGCCCCGCGTCGTCCCCACCCAGCTTTGCCGCGGGCCAAGGAAAACAGCCGCCTCCTCGGGGACTCCCGGCCGGGCGCGGGGGCTGGCTGCGGGCGCCTCGAGGCACCCTGCGGGCGCTGGCTGCGTCCGAGGCTGGTTTTTTGTTTTTGTTTTGGAGTGGGTGGGAGGGGAGCGAGGAGGGTTTTTGTAAAGTATTATCCCATTTTAGTCTTGGGGAAAGAAAACTTCCTTTAAGTGTACCTATCTGGGTGATGCGGAAGAACCTTTTACTCCTTCACTTCTGCACAGAAAATACATTAATTAAATGCACTTGAAAAGGGAATGGTTTTTGTTGAAGGCTGCTCAACAGCCAGGCGTCTTTGTCGCAACCACCATGCAATTATGATATTTCTTCTTTCTCCCGACTTACACATTTTTCTCTTTATTCTATTTTATTTTATTTTTAATACGGGAAGCTTATTTCAGCTTTCATTTGTGAGGTTCATCAGCATGGATCGAATTATCTTTCCAGGTGTTGGAAATAGGCACTTGGGGTAGACCTGTGGGCAAGGCTAAGGTCAGCGTCTGGAGAAAGTTCACGCCCTTTAACTTTTCCCCGTTCCAGGAGCGATCTCGTTGGGAACTGACGCTCGTGCCTTCACGACCTGCTCAGATTCCAGTTGGACTCGGGAGGAACGGGACTGTTTTCTGCATTTGGCTTCACTAGCCGCCAAGAAGCCTGTCTTTGTTTTTGAAGTCTCTAGAAATGGACGGAGACGGTGCAGTCAGTTGAAGTCCGAAGAAATCATCAGGACATCCTTCAGGGGCTCCATAAAAACATTCCTTCCCTGGCACGTTGTTGCACCAGCCCTGTCCCTCCTCGGAGCCTAGTGTGGAATTATTCCTTCCCCCCGCTTTTTTTTTCTTTTTTTTTTTTTTGCTGTGTGGTGGCATTCCTCCCCCAATGTGGGCTCCAAAGGGTTGGTCCCTTCTTTGTGATTTGAAATGAAATGATGGCCACACGTCGGACTGGTCTGCCTGAGGGAGATGGTGACACACTCAAGGCCCACGGGCCCCCCGCCTGTGAGGTAAGTGCAGAGGCAGCATTCCAGGCCCCCAGTGGCCTGTTTTCATGAGGGTGTCCTCTCTGGGAGCAGGGTACTTGTCACTGGACGAAAGAAGAGGCTTTGGGGACTTTGAGCTGATTGGTGGGAGCACCCCTGCCTGACCACTAGCAAGGTGGAAGCCTCATTCATTTTTATTTCCAAGAACTGCCAGTGATTCCTTTGCAGGAATGTTTTCCTCACTTTGAAATGTCACCATCTTAGTCACCTCTGAGTGGGGAATTCTCCCATGTCAGTTGTCTGGGAATGCCAAAAGTCTGTTTTCCATGGATCCCCATCCTCCAGTATTTTTGGAGTGGGGCTGGTTAGGGGGTGGCTTTGTGAATTATGTATGTGTGTATCCAAGGTTTATTCTCTGAGATGGTGGCAGTTGGTGTGTTTTTTGCACCTGAACCTTCATCTCTCTTTGATACCAATGGGTATCCTGGCTGCTGTTGGTGTGGATCTCTGTTTTGGGTAGAAAAATAAGTGTTTCCTCTTGGCCAGTTTAGGCACAGCCTTGGAAAACGACTTTAAAGAGTTGTAATTCCACCTACCTGAAAAATCTCCTCCCTTTACTGTTCTTTATTTGGCCCTTCCCTTCACTGATCAGAAAACCTGTGAGCTGCTCTGGGGTGTCAGGTGGCTTGCATTGCCTTCAGACCAGCATCTTTGGAAGGGCCCAGATTTTATGCCAGGCTTCCTGAAATTGTTTAAGCAGACAGGATAGAAATCATAGAAGATCCCATTGATTTATGATACCCATATGCCCTGTTGCCTCTCATTATCTTTTTCCCTTATGTTTGGATTTTTTTTTTCTGTAATGACTATATTGTGTTTAGTTTGTTATCAATAGTTTCAGTAATCTACTTTCTAAATATATTGAGTATTGTTATTCTTATAAACTTTATTTATTTTTTTAAGATTTTATTTTTATTTATTTTTAGAGAGAGGGGAAGGGAGGGAGAAAGAGAGAGAGAAACATCAATCTGTGGTTGCCTCTCACGTGGCCCCCACCGGGGACCTGGCCTGCAACCTAGGCATGTGCCCTGACTGGGAATCGAACTGGTGACCCTTTGGTTTGAAGCCCGCGCTCAATCCACTGAGCTACACCAGCCAGGCAAGATGCTTGTATTTTTACTCAAAGGTTGAAGGTTACTTTAGATAGCAGCAGTATTTCCAAATGAGCTTTCAATCACATTCATTTTGTGTAACTTTGTGGTTGTTGAAACAAGGTCTAATTCTAAGTGTGTGAGTTTTGACATTTTAATAAAAATGAATCAAGTTAAATTTTTGTAAGGCATGCAGAGAATATTGCATCATGCAGTTTACTTCATATTAGATTAGAAAGTTTAAGCAGAAAATAGGTAGGTACAGTATAATTTATTAAACAGAACTATAGGTTTACAAGTAGAATCAGTGTTTTACTCCTTGACACCTGTAAACACCTGCTTGCAGGTAAAAAACATGATTAAGTATAACACCACAACCTCTGATCATGGTAAACCATAATCACTCCTTTTGGAAGACCTACCTACAACTTGGTGATTGCTTAATGTGTATTATAGTTACATAATAATATGTACTGTGGTCTTAAAGCCTTATTTGTCATTGTCTTCTGAATACTTTAATTAGCATTCATTTGCATTATATTTGCAAGAACAGTGTTACTTGATTTTTTTTTTTTTTTTTTTTTTTTGGCCACTTAAAGGGTGTCCTGAAACTGAGAATTTATAATAGACACGTCTTGTTCTTGGCTTACAAGGCAGTGTTTCCAGTTGCAAACTTGGCTTTTATTAACAATGACAGTTATGTATTTTTGAAGGGCTGTGAAATTTGTTTTCACTTGGCCCTTGCTGCTGGCATGGCCGTATTATTTTTAGTCTGGGAACCAAGAAAACACTGTATTGTCTGTATTTTGCTCATTTAAAGACTATATACATACCTGAGTTTGTATTAAACTAAGGTATTATTGGTCTTTTAATGAATAGGTAGATGAGTTGCTCCTGAATGCTTTGAGTATCAACTTTGGGTTGATAAATACTAAAGTCTTTGAACACCATGTTTAATTTTGGTGCTTAATTTTATCAGAAGTATTACATTTTAGAGTAGTACTCTCATTATTTAAAAACTTTGAAAAAAAACAATAGCTAGGTTCTAAATGTGTATTTGAATAATAAATTTGTGTTTTTACTTAACCAAGAGGTGAACATATGTATTAATGTTAATCAGCCAAAAAACTTAACTTTGTAGAACAGAAGAAATCTATATAGTGAGTTAATAGGATTCGCTGTTTCATGGCTTATCTAATTAGCTAACTCCACCTTTTATGAATAAGATTTGTTGCTTTGTTGAAAAATGATCAAAAGTTTCTTGTTCATTTTAAGAATCAGAATCTAATTCTGTTCATATGTGAATAAATGTAGGCACTCCTCCCCGAGAATATACTGGAAGGTTAAAAAACAGATAGCAATCTTCTTATGTAATAAAGAACTGTGACAGTCCAGTAGAATACATCTAGATTGGCATTATAAAGTGAGGATGACACATGATGTTAACACAAAATTATATACTTTGCACAGTGAAAGATGTATTTTTCAAAATTGGTTTTGCTTAATCTGAGTCAGGTGAGTGTTTTTGGCGGGGCGTGTGTATACAGTTTGATCTATAAAATATTCTGACACCTAGCCTTGAGTGACTTGGCTCATAGTGACTTTGTGTGGACTCTGAGTCCTCTGATACTCTCTCACCCTTTCATATCATATAGTATTTGTCCTTTGAGGTTCACTTGCTTTTTCTTTTTTTTTTTTTTTTTTTAGTTAAAGTTGAAAACTTTGGCTTTCAGTTTTTTAGACCACATCATTTTTCCCATTTATAACATTCATTTTGCTTTTTATATGTAGTCCATAGTGTTGTCAAGTGTTTAGCACTTCTATTGTCTGTTATTAAAATAAACTTATTTACTAATGCTTATTAATTTATGCTTTGCTTTTTCACCTGGGCTAAGATCATCCTGTGACTAGAATGTATTATAGCTGGCGAAAAACATTTGTTGGTTGATTTTGGAATAATGTAAATAATAAGGCACTTTCTATGCATGAATTCATATGAAAATCCATATTTTTGTTTTTCTTTCTGGAATACACACTATACACTTTGCTCTTATCCCAGATTCCCTTGTTCCCTGCTTACCCCCTCAATACCTCACCCCCTTACTCTTTTTTTTCTTTCTTTTAGGGTTCTTCTTCCTCTGCTGCCCTCTTCATGTTGGTTTTAAACAGAGCCAGGCCCTCCCAGTTAATCTGTTCTCTTTTCTCATTTCCTGGGTTTTATTTAACACTCTCCCATGGCTTTAATTTCTATGCCAGTGATTCCAAATTTACAACTCTATTTCAGATTTTATGGTTTGTTTCTAGACCTATATACCCAATTGTTGTGTACTTGTTTTGTTTTGTTTTGTTTTGGATAGCTCACAGGCATTTCAAACTCAATAAACTGTTCCCCTACTATCAACCTGTGTTTCTTCTATTTAGTGAGTAGCACCATTATCTCCTTATTTGTCCAGGTCAAAAACTAGGTTATCATCCCTGGCTCATCTCACTCCTTCCTCCTATCCAAAGTCCTATTGAGGGCACATTCCAAATCCCACTGTCGCCACCCGAGTTCAGATCAGCTGTATCTCCATGATAGACCCCGGGCCAGGCTTGTCTTCCATCGCTCTGTCCGTGCCACAGACTACTCCTCCTGCAGCAGAAAGCTGATTTTTGCATTACCCTGCATAAAACAATTTTCTGGTTCCCCATTGCCTTGGGAATAAAGTTCAAACTCCTGAGAAGTCTTAAAGGACAGTGACAGTCTGGCCTGCCCATGTCCTGTCTCATTTGTTTCCTCTTTCTGAATGTCCTACACAAAGCTGCTTTCAGTTTCCCTGGGGACATTCGTGTCTCTTCACTTCAGGTCCTTGTAAGAGGTCCTTATAAATGCTGCTTTCCTTCACCCTTCCTTCAGTTTCCCCTCCTCTGCCTCCACTCCTCCCAGGCTGATTTTTACTCATCATTTTTGTCTTTTCTTCAACATTACTTCCCCAGGAAAAGCCTTCCCTGACCTTCCAAGGTTGGATTAGTTGCCCCTAGTGCATTATCTCAAAGCACCCTGTACTTTGTTAGGAATAGCACTTAAAAGTTTATTATCCGTATTCTGGATTGCAGGCTCCATAAGAATAGGAACCATGTTTGTTTCTACAGCAGTTAGTACATAGTAGATGTTCAATAAATATTTGTTGAATGAATGAATGGATATATAGGAAAGGCCTTAATTTCTATGAAATATTCACTTAGATTTCAGTACACTATAGTGTCTTGTTTACCCTCTTACCTCATTGTTACCTTCTTACCTCATTGTTTCCTCCTTCTTAGTCTCTTCAAAGTTTCTTCAGCTTCCTGACCTGTTAAATCTTCATATACATCAGGGTTCAGTTTGACACTCTTTTCTTCTTGCTATACCTAGTGTCATGATTTTAAATATCAAGTGTGAACTACTAATTCATATATGTACATAAATATACATATATTTGTATGTATGAGTATGTATGTGCATTTCTATCCTGACCTATCCCTTGAATTTAGGTTTCTGTATCCAACTGACCTGACCAATCAAAGTCTTCTTGGATATTAAGGAGACATATCCAAAACCAAATTCCTGCTTCTCTACATCCATTCTCTCAGGTCGCCTTCCCAGTTTGCTCCTTCTACAGTCCTCATCTTACCCAATAGTAATCTTACCCTTCCAGGCCAGGCATCTGGGAGTGATCTTTGATCTCTTATTTTTCTCAGGCATAACATGGAAATCTGGGTGACTCGTTTCTCAGCCTCAGTGCCTGCCAGCCTAGAGTCTGTTCCTCACACAGTAATCAGAGTGGACCTTTTATAAAACGGATCATGTCACTTCTTTGCTCAGATTCCTCTAATGGCTTGTCATTTGCCCCA